GCACATCAAAGTGCAAGTAGATAAATAGGTACTGCTCCGGCGGGAAGGTAAACGGCGTTTCTGTGCACTGCTCTGGTTCGCCAGAAGCGGCTTAGTCATGCTGGCCACATGACCCGGAAGCTGTACGCCGGCTCCCTTGGCCAATAAAGCGAGATGAGCGCTGCAACCCCAGAGTCGGTCACGACTGGACCTAATGGTCAGGGGTCCCTTTACCTTTTATGGACCACTTAATGACCAAGTGAAGATGCCTGGGTGCCAGGATGGTACCTGACATCTCTACCATCTGAGGATCATTGGATATGGACTGTTCCCATTCACCAGGCATGGCCAAACTTGGCCCTCCAGATGTTTTGGGACTACAATTCCCATCATCCCTAGCTAACAGGACCAGTGGTCAGGGACGATGGGAATTATAGCCCCAAAACATCTAGAGGACCAAGTTTGGCCATGCCTGCCATACATCAATACCCCACCCTGTTGAATTCTATCAGTTATATTTTATCTGCACAAGCAGAATAAATTTCTGGATCCAAAATGCTTTTTTCTTTTCAGCCTGAGCAGGAGCAGTCACAATTAAGAAAAAGAGGTCGGAATAGGCCAATAGATATCCCTGGATCAAGTGACTCTTCTTCTTTTAAGTTCTCAGAGCTCTTAACCTAGTTCAAGGTTGTCATCTGAACTAGCCAGATGTTTAACTGGTAATCACAGTCAGTCCATCATTTGAAAAACAAGACTTTAGAGCTATATTACGCAAAAATAGCAACTAGTCATTCCATTTTGGCGACTGCAACCTTGGTTTAAGGAGCCATTTTGCACCCAGCTTATCTATCTGAGTTTCTGCCCTAAAAGTGGAGCCTAGTGTGGTGGTAGCGCTATGGGGTCAATGGTGCATTGCTTCAATACAATGCGACACACCATTTCTGTTAAGTGCACTCACCATGTTCTTTGAGATTTGTTGTTGTTTAGTCATTTAGTCGTGTCTGACTCTTCGTGACCCCCTGGACCAGAGCACGCCAGGCACTCCTGTCTTCCACTGCCTCCCGCAGTTTGGTCAAACTCATGCTGGTAGCTTCGAGAACACTATCCAACCATCTCATCCTCTGTCGTCCCCTTCTCCTTGTGCCCTCCTTCTTTCCCAACATCAGGGTCTTTTCCAGGGAGTCTTCTCTTCTCGTGAGGTGGCCAAAGTATTGGAGTCTTAGCTTCAGGATCTGTCCTTCCAGTGAGCACTCAGGGCTGATTTCCTTCAGAATGGATAGGTTTGATCTTCTTGCAGTCCATGGGACTCTCAAGAGTCTCCTCCAGCACCATAATTCAAAAGCATCCATTCTTCGGCGATCAGCCTTCTTTATGGTCCAGCTCTCAATTCCATACATCACTACTGGGAAAACCATAGATGAACATAATAAGAATCAAAGGCTATCAAAGATACTGAACCAGGGACATAAGTGGGGAAGAGGATTTAGGTGCAAGGATAGTGAAAATGGCAGGCGAAAAATAGAAAGCATCGGGTGGGAACTGGAGGCACCTGACATGAGAACAAAATAAAGCTATGTATTGATGCTGAAGAGGTTTCCATTAGCAATGGAAATGTAAGGTACCAAACCAGAGGTAGATAACCTGTACCCACCATTCCAAGATCTTGTTGGACTCCAACTCCCATCAGCCCCAGGATGGTGGGAGTTGGAGTCCAGCAGCATATATAGGTTTCTCTCCCCTGCTCTAAACTTTTACATGTCTCCACAAACTCTATGCAACCTTAGGGATAAAAGATGCAGGAATCTCTGTCTCTCCCCCCCCCCCCTTACATTCCCAGCTAATCAATTTTCTGTGTTTTAAGACAAAAGTTAATTTCAAATATTTTGACTAAGCAGTACTGTACAAAGTAATGCTTCTTTTACACTGGGACTGGAAAAAGTCCCAGGCTTTTAATGTAGGTTAACGGGTATTTTTAAGGCTCTGTCTTAATGAGAGGTTAGCAGACTGTCACAGCTCATACACAAGGAACTCTGTTTTTGTAGCAAGAAAAGGACCTCAGATTAAACTATCACTGTGCTCTCTGCAAGCTATAGGGGTTTGGGGGCAGACCAGGGGGCATTTAGGAAGAATTAAACCTCTTTCAAGGCAGCTTAGGTTTACAGTTTCGCTGTGTCCATCTATTGTTATGAGTGAACTACTTGCTCTGTAATAACCTTCCTGCAATCCACCAACTCTCTGCTTAAATAACTTTGTGACTTGTTTGGCGTGGGGCAAGAGGTTGAAACTTAAAATTCTGTTATTCCTCCCCCCTGCCCAGGTCACCTGGAGGTTGTGAAGTTTCTGGTGGAAGCCTGCAGAGTAAATCCTTTTGTCAAAGACAGGTGAGGAATAGTAGGCTTATGAAGGACTGCGGAGAGGGGAGGGTCCATTCTTAGCTGGGACATCAGGGATTGCCACAGCCAAAGACAAGATGTCAGAGAGCCTTTTGGGCCTTCCCATTTGGCCCACTGGTGTATTTTGATGGATAGATTGATGGATCAATCAATCTATCCATCACCTGATGACATACAAAATCGGGTGCATGACAAGTAAACGCATGGAGCCAAATTGAACAGGATTAATTGGGCACAAACTTTAACCTTGCTTCAGGTAGGTAGCCGTGTTGGTCTGCCGTAGTCAAGTCAAAACAAAACAAAACAAATAAAATTTAAAAATTCATTCCAGTAGCACCTTAGAGACCAAGTAAGTTAGTTATTGGTATGAGCTTTCGTGTGCATGCACACTTGGTATCTGAAGAAGTGTGCATGCACACGAAAGCTCATACCAATAACTAACTTAGTTGGTCTCTAAGGTGCTACTGGAATGAATTATTATTATTTATTTTGTTTTGTTTTGCTTTAACCTTGCTTCTTCCTTTCCAGTAACATAAGGCACTTTTTGAATGAGGTACCCATCTATGGTGGCTGAGAAAGGCACCCATTTTTATTTTTTAAGCACCAAATTCTAGCTTGATATGAAGAATCAACATCGTACTTAGAGTATGCTCCCAATTCATCCTTTGCAGCTGCAACCATGGTTTGAATTCAAACTGCACCAACAAAGATGCACTCCTCCTTCTTCCTTTGAACCTGAATCACCTAGCATTATACCCCTTCTGGTGACTGACAGACAGGCAGTCCCAGCCACCCATCAAAGTGATCTGTGTTGAGTTCTAGATCTGGCCTACTGATTGGATCCAGTTTCTAAATAGATGAAGGTAGCTGCACATGCCTTCATCTCTTTCCTTCTCTGCAGGTGGGGGAACATTGCCTTGGACGATGCTACGCAGTTTAATCACTTGGAAGTGGTGAAGCTACTCAAAGATTACCAAGACACCTACGTATTGGGAGCCAGCCAGGCCCGGGAAGCAGCTGAAGACCTTTCCAAGGAGAACTTAGAAAGCATGGTGTGAAGATTGTGAACTATTCTGTTAGCTGCATTTCAACACAAATTTAACTAGGTCACTTGCTCTCATTTCTGAAAGGAGGCAGACACACCAGCGGACGTACTTCTGCTTAGGATTTGAGCTGAGATGTGGGTGGGCAGGTCCATCCTCAAGGCTCTTCCTGAAGCTTCATGCGGCCAGTCTCCCAATTCTTAGGTTATAGGAAACACCAGTTAGTTCCATGCACAAGCTCGATACTTGGTGACACAGCAGTAGACTTGATAAGAGTCCACAGAAACTGAGCTAGCAGCTATTGGGGAGAGAGACCAAAGTGGGACCTTGTCTCTTAAGCGCTAACACTTCACACTGCCTGTAGATCAAAGCAGACACTGCTTACATAGGGAAAAGGCATTTAAGGGCCAAAGTAGGTCTGTCCCTTTGCCCTACACTGTTATCCTACTAAGTACTATGACTTTCTGTTGCTCCCTTCTTTCAAATAATTATGAACCTCAGCATGCAGTCCTAGTATTTGTGTAACTGGGATGGAGGAAGCTTTCAGGCTGTGACTACAGAGTTTTATCTTTTTTAACATTGCCATTTGATATACAATTTGTTAGGGTGGTTTGCAAAACAAAAATACTTTAAAACACCAGCTTTGAAGACCAGAAAGGGGCAAAGTGCACGCCCACCTCAAGAAGTGCCTGCAATGCTGGAGACAAGACAATCTCTCTGGGCCTTTGTTTTCTAGACAAACCAAACATTGCCCTAACTTTCTAGACAAGTCCCAGGATAAAAGTGGTAAGATCAAGAGGTGTGGAGTGATGTGGTAATACGGGTAGACAGAGTTACAACCCTAAGCATATTTGTTCAATATTTAAGTGTTAAGTCCCAACTGAATTTGCATGAGTCGAACAAGTGCATTCAGAATTGCACTCTGGAATAAAGAGAAAAGTTCAGAGGAGAGATTGCATCTGGCTCCCAAACTGTAGTCTTCCCCCCACAGAGCCTATCTCCTTTCAGCAGCAATTCTAGACTGAAGGGTGTTTGGGTTTTTTTGTTTGTTTTATGTTTGTTTTAAAGCTTTTCTTAAACCATGGGGTATTTTCAGGGAAAAGCACTGGTCAGTCCAAAGCAGCTTAGGAGAGCACCAACAGGAAATACAATGTTTCAGATAAATTTATTTTTATTGATTGTGATAACTACACAACTGCCAACACACATACAGTTAACAGAATGCTGCTCTTCCTTGATTCAAAAAAATAGCTCCTTGTTGTCTTCAAGTTGTGTTCCATAAAATAAAGCGCACCTCTGGAGAACGTGTCAGTGTGCTAGATCTGAGAGTACTGTGAAAAGAGTGACCACAGATAGCTGTTATCAGAACATTTCTGGCTTGATTTGTCACCCATATATTGCTGCTCCATGAAACATAGACAAAACCCTGTACAGGGATACTCCTGCTAAGCCAGGGTATAATGGAATGAGGTGAGATTATTGGGCTTTAAAATTGTATTTGTGCAACAAAGTTTATCAGTACAGGAGAATTAGAGCTCCAGTGGGTATGTCAGCATCTTAGATGCCGGCTTAGTTTGTCCTCCCACTGGCCCAGCAGAGGGCAATGGTGGCTATGCATTGTACACAGAGAGATCCAAGTGGAGTTTCCCTGCCTCCAGACATCTGAAAGCCTAGGCAGATCCTTAGGCTGAGCAAGGGGACTCTATACATTATTAAGGACATGGGATAAGAGCACCAAAAGGTGTGGCTGATCACACACAATAGCTGCAAAGAAACAAATGTGACCGTGGAGCAAGCACATACGTTTTTCCATATGGACAAACCCTAATTTAAGCCAAGTGTATCCCGTGTTTGTAGACAGCCAACCAACCTCCTTTTACAAGAACAATGGAGCAGAGACAGAAAATCAGAATATGTGGCCCTCAATGCTCTGAATAACATCTTACTACATTCCAAATGAGATGTTTCAACATGGAATCCAAAGGTCTCATCTTTTCCTAAGAGAAAACAGTCAACGGGCTGAATGGTACATATAGATATGAAACGTTGGCTCCTATGACAAGGGTATTGCAGGAGAGGGGTTCCTTCTTTTATGTACCACTCTGAAGCCTCATATTCCAAGCAGATTGTCCGTCTCTCCAAACTTCACTAAGCTTGAGATGTTTTCAATTCCTATCGAGATTTTCAGGTACATCGAGGCCTGAATGCGTGATCAGTTCACCATCCCAGAGGGCAAAGGCGGGCACTACGGGGCCTTGGAACTCAGCAAAGATGCTGTGGACGGACACATATTTGCTGACATCCACCAGGCTGAGTTTCTTGCTGTCGTAGTCCAAGAACAGACCCACTCTCTCTGGGTGACCGATGTTCTTGATTGGAGTGGTCTCATTAGCGAACATGGCATTCCAGTTCCGGTTCGCATAGGAAAAGACCCAGGAGCGGTCATCTACTCCAACGCAACCGTCCCGGGAGATGTCCACGTCTGCTACCCCTATGCGGAATTGCTGCGATTCTTTGACAGTCACTTCCCAGTAGTGACGCCCACTGGAGACAGCCGTGTCACCCAGTACCACAGCCCAGTCTCTGAAGCGTTCAGTATTCCGGGGAACGCTGGTGGGGTCAATCCCCAGCATACGGTAAATGACACCAGTGTTCTTTTTGAACAGATCCAAGCTGCTGTGGGCCGTTCTCTCATCCAGCTTGAAATTGATCTCTGCAGTAAGAAAGAAAATTGCATGAGAGTCCATACGTTTTGCTGCTTCTCTCAGAAAGGAAGCAAGTTTAGCAGAACCATTTTACTCTGTGATCGCCAAGGATTTCCCCCTTACAAGAGGCGAAGAGATGTTGCTGGACTCCAACTCACACCATCCTAAACCAGAGTTGTAATCCAGAAACATCTGGAGGACCACAAATTCCCAATCCCTGACCCTGCCTTACAGTTACATTTGTTGAACTAAGGGAGCTATTATGTTTCCTTTTGCACAGATAGATGTTACTAGAAATAACAACACACTTTTACTATACAGGAAACGGGGGTACTTGCTAAATAAGACAAAGCATAAGACATCAACTTGGAGAAAAGGGTTAAGGGAATAGGGCTATCATTCAATTAAAGATTTTAGCTGTTCCAATCAAAAGCTGCATCAGTTTCTGAAGAATAAAAAAAATCTATAAACAAAGTATAGTTTTTTTCCAGATTCATGTATTTTCCTGAGATTAGAATGAGAAAGGGGCCTCTTTTTATATTTTATAAGAGCATAGACAACAGAAATTAAGCTATCCCTGTCCAGTTAAGGGCATAACTGGGCCACCAGGCATAAATATGGAGGGAAGCGTGGATTATAGGTCACTCAAGGTCACTCAAATGACAACTCTCTCCCTTCTGCAAAATGCAATTGCCACAAATGCTATGGTTACCAACACAACCGTTCAGGAGGCTGGGTAGTACCCAGCTGTGCCATCTGGTAACTACTTCTTCTTCTTCATCATCATCATCATTTCAGCTGGCACCTTCATTATATACTTTTAGGCGCCTGGCACAAACGCTCCTCTTCAACCAGACCTCTGGCTGATTAACATCCGATACCTTTTTTAATGTGTTGTGGCAGAGGATGGGAGGTTACGGGTTTGTTTCTATTACGTATTTTGTGTGGTTTTTTATCTTCTGTTTTAATGTTGTGAACTGCCCTGTGATCTACGGAGGAAGGGTGGCAAACTGATTTAATAAACCACAACAGCAACTGAAATAATAATATTTTACTGGATGAACACTCCACCACTTTATAGCCAAGAGTCAGCATTCAGCAGTCATCTATGTAGCGTTATGAATCAAAAGGCAATCTTACCCCAGAAGCTACACAGCTACACACTCTCTACTTCTGTAAGGGTTTTCATAGCAGCATAACTGTGCCTCTGTGGTAATGTATAGGCTACAGGTGATCAGATAGATCAGGGGTCTGCAACCTTTAAGACAAAAAGAGCCACTTGGACCCGTTTCCGAAGGGAAAAAAAACTGGGAGCCACAAAACCGGGAAGGTGACTTCGGGATGGTGCGTGACTAACGCACGCACCGCCCCCATGCGACGTCACAGCCAGTACAGCGCCCGCCACAGTGGGGAGTGTCAGGGCGCACAATGCGCCTCCTCCCCTCGCTAGTATCCGCCCCGGAGCCGCGGCAAAGGTGTAAAAGAGCCACATGCGGCTCCGGAGCCGCGGGTTGCAGACCCCTGAGATAGATAGATAGATAGATAGATAGATAGATAGATAGATAGATAGATATACACACACAGACACAAACACTTACTGACATACATTAGGGATATCTGGAATCAAATAAGGAATCTCCTGCCTGCAAAGCCTGTGTTTTAATACTGAGCTACAGAAGCTCTCTTTAAATCATACTATAAAGTAAAGGTAAAGGTACCCCTGCCCGTACGGGCCAGTCGTGTCCGACTCTAGGGTTGTGCGCCCATCTCACTTAAGAGGCCGGGGGCCAGCGCTGTCCGGAGCCACTTCCGGGTCACGTGGCCAGCGTGACGAAGCTGCTCTGGCAAGCCAGCACCAGCGCAGCACACGGAAACACCGTTTACCTTCCCGCTAGAAAGCGGTACCTATTTATCTACTTGCACTTAGGGGTGCTTTCGAACTGCTAGGTGGGCAGGAGCTGGGACTGAACGACGGGATCTCACCCCGCCGCGGGGATTCGAACCGCCGACCTTGCGATCAGCAAGTCCTAGGCACTGAGGTTTTACCCACAGCGCCACCCGCGTCCCTAAATCATACTATGAAGAACTGCAAAACTACAGTGGTACCTCGAGTTACATACACTTCAGGTTACAGACTCCGCTAATCCAGAAATAGTACCTCGGGTTAAGAACTTTGCTTCAGGATGAGAACAGAAATCGCGCGGTGGTGGCGCGGCAGCAGCGGGAGGCCCCATTAGCTAAAGCGGTGCTTCAGGTTAAGAACAGTTTCAGGTTAAGAACGGACCTCCGGAACGAATGAAGTACGTAACCAGAGGTATCACTGTATTGGCAAACAGTCTTGCAGGAGAACCACTAAGCATTATAAATGGCAGCCATGGGCTTAGCCAGGATTTATGGGGATGGGGGCAGAACCAACCTATCTGTGATGCGATGGGTCAGTTAGTTAAGTATTTTAAGTATTTCCTTCTGGGAGGTATAGGGGTAGAAGTACCTAAACAGTATAGAAATTTATTCATGTATGCAACTACAGCAGCAAGAATGTAATTTGCCCAAAAATGGAAAGAAGACGATCTGACGAAAGAAGAATGGACACAAAAACTTATGGACTATACAGAAATGGCAAAATGTACCGGGGGTGGGGGGGTGGGGAATAAGAAATCAAGATAACTAACTTTTTACAAAAGAATGGAAATGGTTTATTGAATATTTGCAAATAACTACCAGACTTTTAGAAGACATCTGAAGGCAGCCCTCTTTAGGGAAGCTTTTAATGTTTAACAGACTACTGTATTTTAATACTTTGTTGGAAGCCACCCAGAGTGGCTGGGGAAACCCAGCCAGATGGGCGGGGTGTAAATAATAAATTATTATTATTATTATATTATTATTATTATTATTATTATTATAAATTGTAAATAGATAAGGACATTGACAGGATTATTGTAATAACTGGCAGTTTTGTAAGAGTATATAATTAAAGTAGATGAATAAAAGAATAAGTTAATTTAGAATATGCAAGAAAAGATTAAAAAAAAATTAAGGAACCGCAGAAAGAGAAGGAAGTTGAGTCTTGAAATGTTTAAATGACTGTAGAACTACTGAAATGTATGTAACTGAAAATGACAAAGTATTTTTATTTATTTACTTGATTTCGGGGGACAGCTGCCCCCTGCACTTCCATGACTGCTACAATCCATATACAATCCATATTATATTCAGCTTCGTGTCTAGGCTAAGCTGATTTATTTATAGCACCTATACACCAAATAATAATAATAAATTCTAAGCAGGTTACATACAATATTCTATAAAAGTTGCAACAACACACACACGCCATGTTAAACTCATTTTGCTGGCCCAAAATCAGATGTTCTGAGGCTCTCGAAGTATCCCGCCTCTTTATGAAGGGCTTTGCTACTCATTAGCAAATAATGGTACTGCTATATTATTATTATTATTATTATTATTATTATTATTATTATTAGTGTTTTTATAGTTGTTTTGATTTTGTGTGGAGTGCCCTACCTGGGTGGATGGAGCAGCCAAGTAATTTCGTTGTCCCCGAGAGGGAGCAATGACAATAAAGATATTATATTATTATTATTATTATTATTATTATTATTATTATTATTATTATTATTATTATCTACTTAACGCGAGCGACTCAAGGACCCTTAATTGGCAAAAGTGCAAAAGAGTCGACCCGGCAGAGGTCCTGCGCGTTTAAGAGCATCCTAGCAGGCAGAAGTTCAACCGGTGCAGGTTTGCTCGATGTGACGGTGCGGAGTCCTCTGCCTGCTGAATTTCGACCTCATAGCCCAAGGGAAGGATGACGAGCAACCCTAAACACGGTGTCATGGTGCCCGAGGAAAGAAACATTCGTAAGCAGCCCAGAGCCGCCACTGGGTATAACTGCAAATACCTCTCCGGGGCGCTTCTCCCCCTAAACGGCGCCCCGCGACACACAGGCTCCAGCCTCGCTGCTTCACACCCCTCAGCATGGGCGCCGCCATTTTGGAAAGGGGACTGCTCAACCGCGCGTGGACGGCGCCTGCGCGATTGCTCCTTAAGGCGGCTGCGGCCGCCATCTTGGAGGAGGGCAACACCCGCCCCAGCCTGCGGATCTCTCCCGCCATCTTAAAGCCAGGCTGTCGCTATTGGTCCAGGAGAGCCGAGCTTCAGAGTCGCCATCTTCTCATAGGGCGCGGCGCTTTCTGACGACGCCGGCGCCATCTTGAAGCGGAGGGAAGGCCGGCGAGGCCGTCATTTTGTTCCTGTTAGAGGGGTAGTACGTGGTTGTGGGCTAGAGAAAATAAATTGTTGAGATTCTTTTGGGAACAAACCCAAATTGTTTAGGGTTTTTTTGGGGGGGATAAATCTCCCCCCGCCCCAGAAAATAGTGATTTTAAGCTTTTGTTTATATATAGATATATATAGATACACATACTGTATATATAAATTTTATTAAATTTTCTGTTTTACAACTTAGAATACTCATTTTAAATGCCCTTAAAATATCCATGACCTCCCTTGTTCTCTTTCCATGTTCATTTTACATATCATAAATTCCTGCATATTTTACATAAACTAAAGCATTCAGTATTCCATCATTACATCCATCAATACTCATTTTAAACGTCCTTAAAATATCCATGACTTCCCTTCTTCTCTTTCCATGGTTCATTTTACATATCATAAATCCCTGCATATTTTACATAAACTAAAGCATTCAGTATTCCATTACTACATCCATAAAAATTGATTTACAGTTGAATTTATCTTAATGCTGCCAACGTTTTCAAGCGTACACAATTTCCCCTCATATGTTCGATAAACATTTTCCAGTCTTCTCTCAACGTATGTTCTTGTTCTCTTATTCTATATGTTAAGTCCGCAAGCTGCACATATTCCATCAGATTTTAAGCTTTCGGAGCTGTTACTGCTGCCACACATCTGGGTTTTCCCTGACATTTTGACGGTTTGGCAAAATTTCCCGCTGACACCATTTTTACACCCCAAACCCAGGACATGTCACGATTTTTCTTGACGTATGGAAAGCCTAGTTAACCTACTTCGCTAACAAGTGCATCTGGGAAGAACTTTACGTATTGTGATTTCTATCTGCTCTTAAACTTTGCTATAGGAGTACGGTTGCAGCCTATGTTCTGACAAAATACGATTCCCATCCTCTCTGGTGCTGAAGTGACTCCAAAGCAATCCATTACAATCTATTGCAGCCTAATAGGGTGGCCCCTCTGAAATTATTTGTAAATCTGGGCAGAGAACTCTGCATGACTATTTCAGGCCTGTTCCCCTACATGGCAACACATTGAAAAAGGAATATGAGCCGATTAAAACTACTTGTGGTTGTGTAAACAGGCCTGGTTTGCTTTATGTTTAACGTTTTGAGCCAGAGCTTTAGCATGGCTAAACCGCTTCTGGAGCAACGGGACACCGTGACGGAAGTCAGAACGCATGGAAACACCGTTTACCTTCCCACTGCAGCGGTACCTATTTATCTACTTGCACTGGTGTGCTTTCGAACTGCTAGGTTGGCAGAAGCTGGTACAGAGCAATGGGAGTTCATCCCATTGCGGGGATTCGAACCGCCAACCTTCTGATCGGCAAGCCCAGGAGGCTCAGTGGTTTAGACCACAGTGCCACCCGTGTTCCTTTTATAAACTTAATAGTTGTGTGTGTGTGTGTGTGTGTGTGAGATTCACTCAAACTGATAGCCAAAAATAAATAACCCAGTTTCAGCTTTGTAAAAAAGTTCATGAGCAACAAAACTAATTGGACTGAGATTGGGGAGATTTGGGTTGGTGTTAGGCCCCAAGCTACATATTATATGAGAGATCAAGGATTAGGATTCCTAACGTTTTTTTATTATGACTTCAAATGTCTCAACTTTGAATAGGATCAGAGCAGTAGTTGTGATGGAAGATATTTAACCCTTCTATCCAGTTGCAGTTTTCCTGATAGAAATCCTTGCTCCCTTCTGCTGCTGCTATTGGCCTGCAAGTGGGAAACGACTGCCACAAATCTTTGCATCTCCTCACCCTGCCCTAAATGCAGGGGCAGTTGGAGCTGAGAGGCATTTATATTGGGGAAATGGTCGGGGTTGGTGTCAGAGGAAAAGTTTAAACAAGCACATAGAAGTGGTGCTTCAATCCAATTTATGCTTATCCCTGTGGCTGCTTTTATGTAAAAATAAAAACATTGAACATGAATAAGAATCAAAGGCTATAAAGATACTGAACCAGGGACATAAGTGGCGGAAAGGAGTTTAGGTGCAAGGAATAGTGAAAATGGCAGGCGAAAAATAGAAGCATCGGGTGGGAATGGAGGCACCTGACATGAGAACAAAATAAAGCTATGTTTGATGCTGAAGGGTTTCCATTAGCAATTGAAAATTGTAAGGTACCAAACAAGAGGTAGATAACTGTTACCCACATTCCAAATTTGTGACTCCACTCCATCAGCCCCAGAATGGTGGGAGTGTGGAGTCCATCAGCATATATAGGTTTTTCTCCCCCTGCTCTAAACTTTTACATGTCAAACTGCTATGCAACCTTAGGTATATAAAGATGCAGGAACTCTGTCTCTCCCCCACCCCCCCCCTGTACATTCCCCAGTAATTCAATTTTCTGTGTTTTTAAGACAAAGTTGATTTCAAATATTTTGATAAGCAGTACTGTACAAAGTAATGCTTATTTTTACACTGGGACTGGAAAAAGTCCCAGGCTTTTAATGTATTTAAGGTATTTTTTAAGGCTCTGTCTTAATGAGAGGTAGCAGCCTGTACAGCTCATACACAGGAACTCTGTTTTTGTAGCAAGAAAAGGAACTCAGATAAACTATCACTGTCTCTCTGCAAAGCTATAGGGGTTGGGGCAGACCAGGGGCATTTAGGAAGATAACCTCGTTTCAAAGGCAGCTTAGGTTAAGTTTTCGCTGTGTCCATGCTATTGTTTATGAGCTGACTACTTGCTCTGTAAAATAAACTTCCCTGCAATCCACCAAACTCTCTGGCTTAAATAACTTTGGAACTTAGTTTGGCGTGGGCAAGAGGTTGAAACTTGAAAATTCTGTTATTCCTCCCCCCTGCCAGGTCACATGGAGGTTTGAGTTTTGGTGGAGCATGCAGAGTAAATCCTTTTGTCAAAGACAGGTGAGGAATAGTAGGCTATGAGGGACCTGCGGAGAGGGGAGGTCCATTCTTAGCTGGGACATCAGGGATTGCCAAGCCAAAGACAAGATGGTAGAGAGCCTTTTGGCCTTCCCATTTGGCCCACTGGTGTATTTTGATGGATAGATTGATGGATCATCAATCTATCCATCACCTGATGACATCAAAATCGGGTGCATGACAACTAAACGCATGGAGCCAAATTGAACGGATTAATTGGCACAAACCTTTAACCTTGCTTCAGGTAGGTAGCCGTTTTGGTCTGCCGTAGTCAAGTCAAAACAAACAAAACAAATAAATTAAAAAATCTCATATCACTAGCACTTAGAGCCAACTAGTTAGTTATTGGTATGAGCTTTTGTGTGCATGCACACTTGGTATCTGAAGAAGTGTTCATGCACACGAAAGCTCATACCATAACTAACTTAGTTGGTCCTAAGGTGCTACTGGAATGAATTATTATATTTAATTTTGTTTTGTTTGCTTTAACCTTGCTTCTTCCTTTCCCAGTAACATAAGGCACTTTTTGAATGAGGTACCCATCTATGGTGGCTGAGAAAGGCACCATTTTTATTTTTTAACACACCAAATTCTAGCTTGATATGAAGAATCAACTACGTACTTAGAGTATGCCTCCAATTCATCCTTTGCAGCTGCAACCATGGTTTGAATTCAAACTGCCAACAAAGATGCATTCCTCCTTCTTCCTTGAACCTGAATCACCTAAGCATTATACCCTTCTGGTGATGACAGACAGGCAGTCCCAGCCACCCATCAAGAGTGATCTGTGTTGATTCTAGATTGGCCTACTGATTGGATCCAGTTTCTAAATAGATGAAGGTAGCTGCACATGCCTTCATCTCTTTCCTTCTCTGCAGGTGGGGGAACATTGCCTTGGACGATGCTACGCAGTTTAATCACTTGAAGTGGTGAAGCTACTCAAAGATTACCAAGACACTACTATTGGGGCAGCCAGGCCCGGGAAGCAGCTGAGGACCTTTCAAGGAGAACTTAGAAAGCATGGTGTGAAGATTGTGAACTATTCTGTTAGCTGCATTCAACACAAATTTAACTAGGTCACTTGCTCTCATTTCTGAAAGGCAGACACACCAGTGGACGACTTCTGCTTAGTTGAGCTGAGATGTGGGTGGGCAGGTCCATCCTCAAGGCTCTTCCTGAAGCTTCATGCGGTCAGTTCTCCCATTCTTAGGTTATAGGAAACACAAGTTAGTTCCATGCACAAGCTCGATACTTGGTGACACAGCGTAACTTGATAAGAGTCTGATACGAGTCCACAGAAACTGAGCAGCAGCTATTGGGGAGAGAGACCAAAGTGGGACCTTGTTTCTTAAGCGCTAACACTTCACAACTGCCTGTAGATCAAAGCAGACACTGCTTACATAGGGAAAAGGCATTTAAGGCCAAAGTAGGTCTGTCCCTTTGCCCTACACTGTTATCCTACTAAGTACTATGACTTTCTGTTGCTCCTTCTTCAATAATATTATGAACCTCAGCATGCAGTCTAGTATTTGTGTAACTGGGATGAGGAAGCTTTCAGGCTGTGACTACAGAGTTTTATCTTTTTAACATTGCCATTTGATATACATTTTGTTAGGGTGGTTGCCAAAACAAAAAATACTTTAAAACACCAAGCTTTGAAGACAGAAAGGGGCAAAGTGCACGCCCACCTCAAGAAGTGCCTGCAATGCTGGAGACAAGACAATCTCTCTGGGCCTTAGTTTTCTTAGACAAACCAAACATTGCCCTAACTTTCTAACAAGTCCCGGATAAAAGGGTGAGATCAAGAGGTGTGGAGTGATGTGGTAATACGGGTAGACAGAGTTACAACCCTAAGCATATTTGTTCAATATTTAAGTGTTAAGTCCCAACTGAATTTGCATGAGTCGAACAAGTGCATTCAGAATTGCACTCTGGAATAAAGAGAAAAGTTCAGAGAGAGAT